GTAGCCATAGTTGATGTGTTAGCAGCAGGAAACATTGGCGAGTATAATGATGAGTTCCAGGGTGGCCGAGGCTCGCTGAAGCACACGGGGAGCGAAGGCTAGCCGGTGTAGTCCGAGCTAACAGACCAGTTACTGTAGCTCAGGTGTCTGTTCATCTGTTGGTGTCACATTGAATTGTTTTTGTTTCTTACAGCATTCGCAGCAGATCATGCCCCTCCCTACGGGTTAGTTTCCCTGGGAGTGGTGTCCATGTGTATACTGATGGCAGCTGCTTTGTGTGTCATCTGCAGGAAGCCAGGTTAGTCGCCTTTAAGTTCTTTATCCAGTTCTAACTTCAAAGGTTTTGATCGGAGACGTGGCTCTCCATCGATTTGTGTACGAATGTTATGGTTTCACTTTGCTCTTCGGTTGCTGATGATGATCTCGTGTTCTCTTCTACTTTCAGGGAAAACTAATGTCAGTGCAGGACCAGAGGGAGTTCAGGAAGTGCAGCCAGTCAAACAAAAGCCCAAAGTGTTGGTCATCTACTCACAAGACCACCATCTGTACAGGGACGTTGTGCTGAAACTCTGCACCTTCCTCCAGACAAAGTGTGGCACCAAGGTGCTGGTAGACCTGCTCGACTCCACCTCGGTGGGCATGGTGGGTCGTCTGCGCTGGCTCGAGTGGCAGCGGCAGCAGCTGAAAGATCCCTCGGACAAAATTCTCGTGCTGTGCTCGCGAGGCGTCCAGGCGAAGTGGAAGGCCATGTGCGGTCAGGGACGAGTGACGTTGAAGGAAGACCTCCTGTCGCCCACAGACGACATGCTCACTCCTTTTCTCAACCTCTTTCTGCCAGAAATGCACCAGGCAGGCACGCTGGGCAAGTACATGGTAGCTTATTTTGATGACATCAGCAGCGAAACAGACGTGCCGTCGGTTTTCGACATTGCGGTGAAATACAGGCTGATGAAGCACTTCGAAGAGCTCTTCTTCCGCATCTTAGACATCGAGAAGTATCAGCCAGGGCAGGTGAAGCACATCGAGGGAATCGGTGCAGACGAATACTTCAACTGTCCCTC